CGGCCATCTAAATTCAATCAACGAGTGATTTTTGACGCTACTGACTATTCTAACACTAAACTGTTTCTTATAAGGTCTGCATTGCAGCCCTTATGGGCACGGGATACAATGTTTATGTTCGAGTGATGCACGCCCAAGTTATGCGATTTGATGTGCTCTATTCGATGTCTAGAAAAACCATTCACATTTCATCATAAGGATACTCTTGCGTCGGCTAAAACAAAAAAGACAAAAAAACAAACTTCGTCTCCGTATTTGATGAAGATGAAGCCTTTGACACGATCCGGTACTTTGTAGGTGACAACATAGTGACCATTGCCTTGATGCTTCACAACAACCTCTTCGCAAGGTCCTTTTGTCGTCACTACTCCAACCATCAGAATATTTGATCCTAAATAAGAAGACGGTATGCAAATTCCAAAAAAAACCTATGCACTATCGAGCATGAAAAACGCCTTTCAAAAGCCTTTTGGCCATACCTGCTAATGCAGTATCGATCGTAAAGGTCGCAGGTCTGCCAGGGAAGAATTTATTCAAACCAGCGCCTTTTGCCTCAACCTTAAACGGACATGAAAAAGATCAAAATGAATGGAGGAAGAATATGTTGCAGACCTTGGTAGCGTCTCCTTTGTATTCTGGAACAGTAACGACGGTACCCTTGGTAGTTTTCGCCACAGCATCTATCTTGACAAAAGAGGACTCGTTGTAGCCGCTTCCTCCTAACACTTTCCCGTCAACAGGAATTTTATACGGTGAGCCAGGTATGTGAATTCCTAAAAAAAGAAAACTGCAGCATGATCTACGATCGAATAAAATGCCTCATCACGAGAAACGACTACATGTCAATTTATTTGGGTAAATAGGTTGCGAAGTAAATGTTAATTAACTCGAAGCGACCCTGCAGGAGCCATGAGTGCCCCTTGAAGCCTTTTTTTGAACGCAGGAATGCGAAATAACAACGCAGTGTAGTGCTGTTTTACGACTTATTGGCCGGGGTAGTGTGTTTGAGTGGCAAGCGGCGCTAATTGTCATCATCATGCGCACGGCCTGGAGGTCCATGTTCGAATTATAAGCTGTTCACGTCAGCCAAGAATATCCCTTCGGTCGGTTGGTTGGTTTAAAACTAGTCTGGGAGGATAAAACACAGCCTTGCATTGGCTGGCCCCTGCAAACCATTATGTAGACCAAATCGTATTCAAAGTGCCACTACGACCCTAAATGGAAATAGAGTAGGTGACATTCTTAAAAAGGAAGTGATCAACACGAATCACATTATCATTATCCATTATCATTAATACCATTATCGCAAAATACAGAGTCAAATGTTTCATAAGCTACTCCAAAGGAAGCGGGCAACTGTTGAGAAGCACACGGCACTAGGGATCAGAGATTGGAAGAAACCTAATAAAATACAACTTACCATTATATTTGACGGCTGCGTAGTAGTCTCCAGGTGCCAGTGGAGTGTAACGAACTTTGTAACCACGTTCGAGCTACAAAGATAAAATCGATTCAGGGGTAGGGCAAGCATTGAATGCTACTATTCACTACATCTTTCACGGTTCGAACTGTTAACGAAAGTATGCATAGGAGAAATGTATATTAAATGAAACGCGCGAATTACCACTGGGTATCATAAGCCGCACGCAAGACAGGCGTACTTAAGAATGAAGAATGCAGCCTCTGACAGAAATGTTTGAAGCAGCAGTTATGTACGGTATGAAGGGAATAGAACAATCTGGATTACCATCAGATTAAAGGCACAGCCCAGCCAGAAGTAGTGTGAACGATTCCCTCCGGTCTATAGTATGACCCAAGAGGACAATCACAAATGTGGCGTGCACGGAAACCAACCGACAAGAGCGCTAAGGCCTTGCAAAGTGAGCTGCAGCAGCTTCAGATATTTTCTCTTTTATCAGGCTGTTGTCTGGCGCTCTCTCCCTCATACTCTATGCGCCTAGCCTCCTATCATTGCTTTAGCACCGCCTATTACGAAGGTGAGCAAGCCCTCAACCTAAACCTTTTCGACAAACTCCTTTCCTTTTTTCTCTATCTCTCAACTGCCAGCCCATTTCGCAGTGCAAGGACCACAGCGTGGGGCATGCCTTTGAACAAGGCCACCTACGAAGTCTCCTTGTTTTCGCGATTTCAAATGAAGCAAACTCATCCACTAACTAACATTGAAGCTGGGTAAGGACACAAAAGACTCACCTCGTAGGCATCGAGCGTCGCTTTGCTTGGACCATCCAATTGAACTGTGAGTGTTCCAGCACCAGCATTCGATGTCACGACAATGAATTCACATTTCTGAACAAAAACACGTCACGTCGAACATAACAGAAATAGCACACAGAAGGCTGCAGTACCTGCCCAGTTGTACCCTTCTTGATGCCGTCACCGGTGACACTGATCGCTGTGGGATCGCATTGATCGCGTCCTCCAACTCTCAAACGGAATGGCGAGTCCCTCATCGGTGCGCCGTCCAAAGTCACGTGAATGTAGTGATTGCCACTCTTAAAACCAAATTCACTTCAGTGGAAGACTTCCCATCAGATATGAATACAATGATCCCGCTAACCTCTTTAGGAAGGAATCGCAACGCGTAGCTCTCGCCATCCTCAATTGGAACAATGTCGATAGTTTCAATCTCGTTGCTTGGCGTGACTACCTAAAATCATTATCATAGTTTAGGAGCGGAGAAAACTGTAATCCTTGAAGAAGTTACCTTGGCTTCGAGATGTCCATTTGCACGATGAGTAAGCACAGTAAATGTGAAGGCTTTTCCAACCGGGATTCCCTGGTCGTGGAACTGTGCCAGCTCCAACTTGCGCACCTCACCCGTGGCCGGCGCAATAAACACCTTAACATTAAGAGCCATCATAGTTGACAAAAAATGTATGAAAATTGTCTGAAAAAGAACCACTTGCCTTAAATGGTGAATCCGTGATATGTTGGTCATTGAACTTGATCCCAACTATGTACTCTCCGGGCTCAGCAACCTTGTATTTCACATAGCAGTTGCCATCCTAAAATTTTTGGAGTTCTTGGAAACATTTCAATATGCGTGTTCATGTGTAGCCAGATTTGCATCAACCTCATTTCTATCTCATTGAACACGAATACTTAATGCTGATCATTTGACTATAATTAGGGTCAAAACGATGCATACTGGCTTACGATCATTGGCTG